GGAAGACCCCTTTTCCTTCTTGGCAAGGACTCAGCCAAAAAAAAAGCCATAGACTCTTTATTTACTATAACCCTCTAAACTTCCTTTTCCTCTCTATAAAAGTGTTGCCACGCAGGGGATTTGTATATGATTTGCCATGGTTGCAAACCCAGATTGCAATTCTCTGCTGATCTCAAATAAACCCATCGTTGCTGGAGAAATATCTGGCAGTCTATTTGTTTCAGCTCAACATTTTTGTGGTTGGGGGCCCACAAGACACTCCTGATGGCTCCGGGGCTGGAGAGCAAACAGCTGTGGGAGCCACAATAGAGCCATGGTCACTTGCTGCCTTCTCACTGACCCTGGGGTATGAAGTCTTTCTCTGGGCTCTGAGCTTGCGCCTTCTTTTGTGTTTGAAGCTCTCCAGGTTTTATTTGGGATCTATTCAAAGGTTTCATTTTTCTGATTAAGGCCTTGTTGTATATGTGAATATTCATTTGGCACTTTGGTCTGATTTTGAGATCAGACTGATTCACTGAAACCGGCTAGTCTTTGACTTTGTTCTTCAGGAACACACATTGTTTCTCTTAAACTGCTTGGTTTTTTAGCTTTTAGCCTATTCCTTTGGAGGGGCTGTCTTCTGGAGATTGGCAAAGGAAAAAAACAAAAACAAAAACAACCCTTTGGCCTGGCTCCCATGGAACCAACCTGTCTTCTTAGGACTACCTAGGACTGGCTACCAAGCTGTTTCAATTGAATCATTTATACCATTAGTTGTTTAAGCCATTTGAAAATTGTCCTTTACTCTAGAAGCAAAACCTCTAAGAAAGAGGATCCCAGTTATCTAATATTTTGAGGGCACACACCCACAGAGACTCATGCTGATTTTATGTTTAAAATCCACAGTCCTTCCTCATGTACATGACTGACCTGATCAAAGGCAATTTAGAGTATCAGTGGCCATTATGGAAAACTTTTGAAATCTCCAAACTTAATTTTCTTAAAATTGAATTGGACCTCAAAAATTTCCAGAACTGAGTGGAATGCTTATTTCGATTGGTATTTTTGAAGCATCCCAACATTATCAGTAGATTAAAATTGCCTCTCTGCAAAATAAGAGTTTAAGATTAACTAAGGGAAACAAACAATTAAAGAAAGACGAAACGCCTCCCACACCCTGGGGCTCCTCTTTCTTGGTTTCTTGTTCTCAGATTCCAACGCTGGCTCCATCTTCCTCCGTCACTTCCATGCCAACTATCCCTCCACTATACCCTCAAATCCCCCATACTGATTCTCTCACCAAACTTACCTGTTTCCCTGAAACTCTCCTACTCCTTTTTCCTCTGAACTTGTCAGAACCTGTTCTTTAAAAACTAAGCTTTCTGAAGACCCAGGAGCTAAGCCCTTAATTTCTTACACTCCCTGGGCTAAAGCTGAACTGTGAGCCACTGTCAGAGATTTTCCTAAAGTGACCAAAGAGCCTCACAGATTTGCTGAGGAATTTAATACTGTCATTCTAACATTTCAATCTGGTTTCTCTGACTTATATAGGTTAGTTCATATGCTTGTCAGCAAAGGCCAGGCCCAGCATAGGATGAAAACTGCTAACTGAGAAAGTCCTGAAGGGTTTCTAGAACTGAAACTGAGCAATCCCTGCATGCTTCCTTGGTAGCAGACCCTTTTGTGTTCCCCACCTCTTGCTTAGACAAAAACTACAGTCTCCTGAACCTTCCCCAGGTTCCAAAAAGTCTGGCTTAAAAGTTTCAAAAAACCTAGCTCAAAAGTTAATGATTAGAGGAATGAGAACAGACAATGAGAACAACACAGAAACAAGGAACAGCACTCAGGCAGAAGAACTGGTAACAATTTAAACAATTAATCAGCCATATAGCAGAATCACAGGACCTTTCATTTCTCCCTGAAGGACATAGATAAAACATCTGATGTATATTCGTAAGTGGTTTTTACAGACCTGATCCCCACCAGATGGAAACTGCTGACCACAAGCATGTAGACCCCCAGACCAGCTGGAACCAGAGGATTGATGATATTGATTTCTGAAACTTCACCTTGTTACCTCACCATCAACCAGTCAGAGAATTGTCCATCAATTAACACAAAATTGTAAACCGACTCTACTTCAATTAAAAAAGAAAAGAAAAGAAAAGAAAAATAAAATTGTACATGAGTTGATCATGCACCCTGTGACTCTTTCCTTCATATTCTTTAAAAACCCCTCCTTGAAAGCCATGGAGGAGTTATGGTCTTTTGAATGCTGGCTGCCCATTCTCCTTGCTTGGTGCCCTGCAGCAGGCATTGTACTTTCCTTCACCACAACCCAGTATTAGTAGATTGGCTTTGCTGTGCATTGGGCAAGTAGACTCAACTTCAGTTTGGTAACAGAATTACACTAACTTATTACATGATCAGTCTCAAGCAGTCACTAGGTGACTTCATCAAGCAATTCCTAGGACTTTGAAAAAGTCTGTTGATTGGAACAAAATTCAGCCTTACACACAAAAATCAGGTGAGTCTGTTCATGATTAGTACAACTGACTTCAGATTATCTATAAAGAAAATTCTGGTCTTCCTGCAGATGTTTATTACATCTGGGTAGCATGTAACTCTATTAATTGACTGAACCAATTCCATTCTAGTAAAAAGGACAAGGTAGAATAAGAAATTAGGTGTACTCCAGGTTTAGTTAATCTGGCAAACCATCTCTATTGCAGTCTAGATGAGCTACTTCAACGAAAGACCACCAAAATTCTTAATCTTCAACTCCAGAAAATGAAGGTTCCTAAATGAAACTAAAATCCTCCTAGTTTCTGTTATTACAAAGAGCCAGGACATTGGGGAAAAGATTGTTACAAACTTAAGCACCTTCAACTCTTTAACCAGCCTTTCCAGCATCCTTCCAATTCTCAGTGATGGGGCTCCTACGAACCACAGGAACTCTTCCCAATCCTCCCTCTTAATCAGCATGGAGAAATATTCTCCAGATTGGAGACGAGTTGCTTCCAGTACTAATAGACACCAGATCCACCCTCTTGGTGCTCAACCCCACTACTATTAAATAACTTCTGCCTCCAACTGCTCAACCAGTTCAAATAGTGGGGATCTCTAATGAACCCCAGGAGGTTCCTGTTTCTGAACCTATTCCCTTTTGTTTAGGCCTTTTGAGAGGTACCCACCCTTTCTCCTTACTTCCTCCACACCTATCCATTTATTAGGCTAAGACTTCTTAGAGAAGTATCATGTCAGAATTTCATTCTTTCAAAAGGGGTAAGTAATTCTAGAAACTGATAGTACTCATCAAAGGAACTCACCAGGTACATTAAATGACCCCCTGACATCTTTTATTTCCATCTCTGATGGTATTAGAGCAGATTCTGGAAACACTGATCATTTGTCTCTATTTAATCAGCTGCCACTTTCCTTATGGGCAAAATCTGCAACTGATATTAGCATTTTGCTAATTTCCTCCCATCAGGATTCAAACAGACCCCTCAATGGAGTATAACCTTTAAAAATTGTGAATGACTATATTATACACCAGTAACTTGTATAATGTTGCACATCAACTATATTTCAGTAAAAAAGCATATCCCTCAAAACATCTTCTCAGGATGAATCAATACCCTGTAAATAAAGAAGTGCTTGAAAGCACAAAGCCCATAACAGAAGGTTGTAAGACCCAAGTCCTCCTTATGCCTTGTACTTACCCTTGTAACACTCCCATTTTACTGGTGAGGAAACCTAAGGGCTGAAGGAGGTTTGCCCAGGACCTACAAGCAATAGACAACATTGTTATCCCTGAACACCCTGTTGTTCTTAACCCTCATGCATTACTAACATCCGCTCCCATAGGAAGTAAACTCTTTACTGTAACTGGTTTGTGCGGTGCATTCTTTGGTATTCCAGTCAACGAAGCTGCCCAATACCTTTTCCCCTTCACTTAGGAAGAAAAACAATTCACTTGGACACTAATGCCACAGGGTTTTACTAAGAGTCCTTTTTTATTTCTTGCAAATCCCAAAGCCTGATCTGCAGGACAGAAAGTTCCCTAGAAGTTAAACTTTGTTGCAGTAAGTGAATGATTTGCTTCTTTACACTCCTTCTCAAGACTCCTCAGAGGAAAACAGCTTGCTAAATAAAGATTCACTTACTAAAGCTTTTAGCCTTAAAGGGACAGAAGGTCGCCAAAGAAAAATTGCAGTTTGCCCAAATCCAGGTTCAATATTTGGGACATCTGATATTAGAACAAGGGCTACACCTAGATCCAGATAGACTTCATGATGTCCTAAGTTTCCCCAAACCCAAAACTAAGTGCCAACTGCAAGAGTTTCTCGGGTTAGTTGGTTATTTCTCTCTGATGGCCAAACCTCTATATGCTATTCTCAACAATAATGACCCACTTTTATGGGAAGAACTGGATTACAAAGTCTTCAAGGCCTTAAAGGAGAGTTTGGTGAACCTACCTGCCCTTAGGCATCCCAATTATCACATTTCCTTTTTTTTTTTTTATGAGCAGGAAGGGACTGCCTTTGGGGTGCTGCTCACTCAAAAACATGGGGACCACCACCAACCCATAGAGTATTATAGCCAGCAACTGGACCTTGTGGCCCATGGATACACCCCTTGTCTTAGAGGCTCACAGTCACTGCCCTTTTGGCTAAGGCCATCGAGAAAACCATCGTGGAATCCCCTTTGACCACTTTTGTATCTCATGAAGTAGCAGCTTTCCTGAATTCTCATCACACTCAACATTCCTCAGCTTGTCACCCCACCTCCTGCAAAGGGCTTTTGTTAACTGTTCTTCATCCTTTTATTTTATAACAACCATAACAACAACAACAACAATAACAATAACACCCTTAACCTGGCTACTCTTCTTCCCTCGGTCACCAGCGAAGTACCTCGTGACTTCCTAATGCTGAATGCTTCCTGGCTCCTTAGAATGGTCTACTAGAAATTCCATGCGGTAACATTGATTTCTCATAATTCACGGGTGGTCTAATTTTAAAAGTTGACAGTGGAACCTTTTGTCCACAATGGCAACGTGCTTGTTATGACGTTACAACGTGATGCTGTTGAGGCGACATCTTTGCCTGTGGCTGCTTCAGCCCAGCAGGCTGAACTGCACACTGGTGCCTGTGCTTATACTTTAGGCAAGGACAAAACTGGCAATATTTATCCTCAGAGCAGCTCATGATTCTGGAATGTTATGGAAGCAATGTAGCTTCCCTACTTCCAGTGGAAATAAAATTTAAAGTGGCCCTTACGTTCAGGAATTACTGAATATAATATTTTTAACTGTCACTTTAGCTGTTAAGATTCTGGGGGTTCTAAACTTGACTCTCTGGAAACCAAGGAAATCACTTAGTGATGTTTCTGCAAGGAATGCTGCCCTTGAAGGAATGAAGAGCAGTCAAACTTCTGTTGTGGTCCAAGTGGATATTCCCCCCAATAATAGTTTTTTTAAAAAACTGGCTATAGAAAGACTCAACAGTTGGCGCCGGAAAAGGAAAAACAAGTTTGGAAATCCAACAATTGTTGGTTTGATAAAAAGAGAAAGCTCTGGTTTTGACCAAATAACAAGCCAGTCCTACTGGAGACTCTAAAATTCTCACTCACCACTGTGCATTCATTAAACCTTCAGTCTATGACAGAATGAGAGCCTTCATGAATCAGTGTTGGTGAGGAAACATTAACAAGGTTACTCATCCCACCTGTCCAAACTACAACCCAGGGAAGCCTGTTCGTACAGCGTGTGGACATTTTAAACTGCCTACGGGGCCATTCAAGGTCAGGCAAGTGGATTTCATACAACTTCTTTTGTCTAATGGATATAAATCTGTTTAGTTATGTTCTGTATGTTTTCACATTGGACAGAAGTTTTCCCTTGCAGACAGACTACTGCCTCTTCTTGGGCTAATGTCATTTTGAAAAAGATTATCCCTACCTGGGGAACTCCTCTCAAACTTCATAGTGATTGAGAGACTCGTTTTTCTGACCAGGTGCTTTGACAAGTCTGTGCTGTTTGGCCAGTTTTATAACACTTTCACTTAGCTTACCATCCTCAATTCTCTGGTTTAGTCAAATGCACTAATAGCACTATTAAGACTCCATTACAAAATGTGTCGAGGCGCTCCAAATACCTTGGCCAAAAGCATCACTGTTTGTCCTTTTAAATCTCTGATCCACCCCTTGTGGAACTCATAAACTCTGACCCTTTAAGATAGTCACAGGATGCTCAATGCCTGTGGATCCTACTTCTTTTGACCCACAATTGATAAAAGGAGAGATACTCCAATACTGCAAAGGCCTAATTGCTTCTATTAAAAATAACCACACTTTGGGAGAGAAATTTTTTCACAGTGAGCCTTCAAGAGATGAAAAGCTTAAGCATCATATCTTGCAACCAGGAGATTTTTTTCTACTGGTAAAGTCATATTAAGAAGAACTCTCTTCAACCTGACTGAAAAGGCCCCTATCAGGTACTGCTAACCAAATCTTGTGCTGCCAAACTCTAAGGAGCAGACTCTTTGATTCATGTAACTCACACAAAGAAAGCACTGAACCCCAACTGGATCTTCACATCATCTTGTGACCTGAAAGTAAGACATCCCAAAACTGAAGCAGATGACATCTGATGAGACAGCTCTCCAAGATATCTGGACCAGGCTCTTGGAAGTCTGTCACCAAAACTTTGATGATGGCATAATGCTTCACGTGATCTCCAGTGTCTATGATCTAGGTAACATACAGACTAGATAAAAAGTGCCTGTGAATTCTCCCTCCTACCTCTCCTTGATACTCGAATGTGACCTTAATAGATTTCTAATCTGTGTACTTTCCCTCTGACATGAGACTACATCCAGGAAAGGTTCTTCCTGACATTGAGGGTTAAAAAGCTGCTGAAACTAGACAAGCTGACTCTTGATCAACAATGCTTTCAGAGAAAGATCTTGATCAAAAGGGAGAATTAAAAAAAAAATTAACAAACAGAAACCTCAACTTGAACAGAATTGAGAGACCAGAAGGGGAGCTCTCACGCCCTGGGATGAATAGCAACACACAACAGCAAGAAGAAAGATTCTTTTTTTTCCTGGCAAGGACTCAGCCAATGAAAAGCCTGAATTCTTTGTGTACTGTAGTTCTCCTAACTTCTTTTTTTCTTTATAAAAGCGTTTTTCTTCTCTTGCTGTAAGAGGACTTGCATGTGGCTCTCCTTCGTAGCAGACCCCAAACTGCAGTTCTCTGCTGATCCCAAATACACCCATCTTTGCTGAAGAAATATCTAGCCGCCCATTTGTCAACAGAAGCAAGCAAGATGTCCTTCAGTAGGTGAATGAATAAACCGTGGCACATCCATATAACTCAACATTATTCAGCAAAAAAAAAAATAAGTGAAGTATCAAGCCAGGAAAAGATATGGTAGATGTTGCTCTATGTTGCTAAGTGAAAGAAGCCAATCTAAAAAGGCTACATACTACATGATTCCAATTATATTTCATTCTGGAAAAGGTAAAACTATGGAGACAGTAAAAATATCAGTGGTTGCCAGGAGTCGGGAAGGAAGAGGTGAAACACAGGGGGTTGAAACTATTCTGTATAATACTGTAATCATGGATATATGGCATAATGTGTGGGTCAAAACCCATAGCACTGTACAGCACAAAAAGTGAATGAACCCTAATGTAAACTATTGTGGGGGAGGAAAAATAACTTCCCCTCCAGCCAATTAGGTTCTTAGCTGAGACACCCCCAACATGCATCCTGTAATAAAAGGTAGATTAACAGGAGAAAAACAGACAGAAGTTTAATAACATGCATACCTCTTGTACACATTGGGAGATAACATGGAAAATAAATAATTCCCTGAAATAACCAAGCCACCACCTTAAATACCATCTCCAGCTAAAGGCAAAAGAAGATGTTGGGGGCGTTGGGGAAGGCCAGTTATAGGAGGTTATCAGGAAAAGCACAGTGAACAAGGGTAAGGTTGTCATACAGATAAAAATCCTTGCCCTCTCTATTGATAAGAATTTCTGGAGATTTAGAGTCATGCTCCTCTTCCTGTTACAGAAGGGGAGACACTCCTACAAATGGAGATTTCCCTTATACATGTAAATTCTCTTACAAAAGGGTGACTTCTACTAGGTTTTTCAGAGCTTCCTCTGTGTCTACAGCCTAAAATAATCCTTATTCCAAAGAGGCATATTTTGGGGTTCTATTCTGCTCCCCTTCACTATGAATTTTAGTTAATAATAAAGCATCAGCATTGGCTTATCCATGATAACAAATGTACCATACTAGTGCACGATGTTAATGACAGAGGTGTGGACGAAAAACTGTTGCTCACCTCTATGAGAAAAGAGTCACAAGCCACTGCAGAGTAATGTCCTAAAGGACCATCTTGTTCAGGTTAGAATTTAAGTTTCTTTTATGCTAAGAAAAGACGGAAGGAAGAGGGGTGAGATCAGGAGGTGATGACTAGCCTCAAGCAGCAGGGCATCAGCTGGGGTCCGAGGAAGCCTACGAAAATTTGTCAGTTGGGTCTGGTCGCGGTGTACCCGCAGGACTCAGTAAGACAAAAGTTATCTTTCTTGTTCTTGTTTCCGTACCTCTGTGGGGGAAGGCTGACTCTCTAAACTTTCTCACATACACCTCAAGCCTCAGGCAGAACTCTTTTAATGATTGCTGTGTTTCTGTGCTCAGGT